TTTACTCAACCGGTTACCCGAAATTTATTCAATTCGGGTCGGTTAACCGATTATAGCCCAACCGGTTCAAATCACTATATATACGTATCTTAAAAATAATGATTTGCTTCTAAATAAGCATGATATAACACGTACTGCAACTAGTCTTCTTGTAATACGTAATAACAAGCACTACGTATACGTATAAAAATTTTATAATTTTAGTTATATTGTATTAATAGTATATTAACTAAAAAATATAAAATTAATGCTTGTACGTAAAAAATCTATAATTTTATAAAATAAAATTAAAATATGTTATACTTCAGACTAAGGGCGTCAACCTTGATGTGATCATAATACGTAACGCACAACCATAATTCTGTAATTATATTAACATATAAGATGCATACGTATATGCGAATCAATGAAATTGGTTTACATCAATAAGATTTTGAACTTACCGGCTCACCATCCGCATATACTTTGCTAGATGATAAGACATCCAACTTACCGTAATTACCTGTAAAATACTCGGATATTTTTACATTCTTGCATGAAAGAAAAATAATTTTATACCACCTGACTTTTCAATAATTTTTCACAATACCATGGATGAATTTAAGTTTTAAAGCTTCATTAGCATCCCTATTCTTAGTATTAAAAAAAGCAACGATTGTTATCAAAATATTTCTTTAATAAAAAAAATAATACCGACTTACATTCTGAAAAAAAAAAAAAAGAAAGATTTAGAATAATTTATATATCAAAGTTTCGTAAAATTTCTGGAAGACAATATCGAAACTTAAATTTGATACAGATATCAATATCGATATAGTAATAAAAGTTTTCTTAAGAGACTTCTACAGTGTTGTAAAATTACGGTAATTTATAAATTTTGATGGTAAGTTACCAGAAGTTGCTAGTGAAGTAACTTATATTTATTCCAAAAGTCTCTGTATTTTATGTTCGTTAATTATCTACAATGGCAGCAAGCATTTGGTAATTTTTCGCAGTAAGTTATTACTAACAACCCTGCTTGTATAGTAGTTATATCGAATTTGCAAAACGATGTATAAAATTCTGATTTACAAAAACATCTTACAGTTTGAATACAGAAATAAAATTCAAATTAAAAGCAATTCTTAGAGTATAAAATTTTAAAATAATATGAAAACAAAACAATTATAATTCAAGATTAGGTATAATGGGTATAATGTGAAAAACAAAACAATCATAATTTTTTTAAAAAATTACTTCAATTCAAAATTTAGTTTATAAAACCTCTTAACATTCTAATTAAAAAAAATTCTTTGCTAAATTTTGAGTTAGAAACTTTTTTACTATTGTCTTTTTCTAATTTTAATGAGTTATTTCTATAATTTTTATAATTTTTACAATTTTTACAATTTTTACTATTATTGTAAAAGCTATATAAATTCTAATTTTCTCTCATATAAAGTAGTTTCTAACTAGTTTTCAAGTAGTTTTCAATAAAGTTTGTCTTCTACATATATTTAATAAACAAATAAATTTAACTATCTATTCTATGAACTGCTACGTAGAGATATTATATTTCTTACTCAAAGACTAAAAGCTTTGACCATACTAGCAAAGTATAGATCAAAAATAAATTAGCTCTTACCCCTAATCTCATAGAATAGTTATAAGTTTGCTTGTATAGCCAAATTAAGATTTATTCAATAAAGTGTTAGAGGAAAAATCTCTCTTTAAAAAAAAAAAAAAAAATAAGCGTTTTCATAACGATAAGCAATTAAATACAATTTTGATTATAATTATTATGTAGTTTTAAAAAACGGTTAAGTGTTTCTTAATTTATAGCTAAGAAATGCAATTGACCAATCGAATACGTAAAATTATACAATTCAATTTTACCGGTAATTATGCAATATCACGTAAATGATTGGACTAAATTTGTTGAAATATTATATAATTTTTATTAATCACCAAATCAAAAAATTCCGCCCATACGGATATACACGTATAATTTTTTAAAAAGGATTAGGGAAGGGTTTTTGGGGCCGTAGAACATTTTACTTAAGCCACCTTTTACCGATTAATTTGCTAATATTGAATACATAGATGCAAACCACTATAGGTATGTCTTAGTAAAAGTGACTATTTTAATATATATATATATATCTTAATAAAAATTTATTATAATTTAAAAAAGTTCATCTTAAGTACAAAACTTGATTTGCTCTGTAGATCATATATTACGTTCCTTTTTAAAAAAAAATTAGATCAACTTCTCTGAACATCTAATTCGAAAGTGGTGTTATAAACTTCTTGCGTTAACTTATTTTTAGCAGTTGCTTTAATTTCCATTGTACCAAAGGTTAATGCGAATTCGACTGGACGCTCGCGTCCTAGTGTTGGTGCATTGGATAATTCGATTCTTAGGGTACCAAGTAATTTCATACCATCCTCTCCAATATATTTCGGTCGAAGGGATTTTGTAATATATACATGAAATACTGCCACTCTTTGATTCGACATTAATGGCTTATATTCTTTACAAAAACTTTGATCTAAAGAAACTGTTGTTCCGCGAACCGCGAGAAGATCAAACTTCCATATTTTATTATCATTTGTGCTAAATAATATTATTAAAACCTATTAATTATTATAAATTTATAAATTATAAATTATTTATATATAAAAAATCTTAATTTACCGAAGACTAGATGGATCATTCCGAATATCATAATCTGATTTTATCTCCACTCCATACGTCCATTTTAAGACTCTACTTTCTACAATACCCATGTTTAATCCGTATGCTACCGCTCCTCTAACGATAGCTGCTATTGGTCGTCGAGGGCATGCGTTTTCTGTAAGTAGTACCAGTACTGATTTGGATTCATTAATTTTAGAGTTAGATGCTAGCTCGTATTTGTTAATAAGAGATAAAATAGTCTCCTAGTCTGAAACAGAGCCTGCTTCAAGAGTGAGGTCATCTGCATAAGCAGCTATTTTAAAAGTTGATCCTAGGATATTTATGCCTCTAATGTGTTCTTGAATAGATTAGATTAAGGGATTGATTGCTAAGACATATAGTAGAGGTGAAAGGGGGTCTCCTTGTCTTACTCCTCGTTCAACTTTAAAGGGCTCTGAGAGGTTGCCTGAGTCTAGGATATAAGCTTGTTGAGAAGCAAA